ACTGGCTGGTGAAATACAGTACAGTAGCTAACATAACTACACGGGTCCCTCCAGCGAATTGGAGTCATTTAAGTGCACACAAACGGAGGCACTGTAAGTGGAGGCAATGAGGAGCAGATTTCAAAGTGGGAACTATGGTGGCCTTCCCCAACCTATGGGTAGAAGTGGACCCCCAGGATACTGGGAATGTTTCTTTACCATGGGAGTTTGGTCTAATATTTTTGGGGGTGTGCATATGCCTTAAGTGACCAGTTATTTGAAAAGAAAAAATAAGGATTTATACTTAGTGCCTGTAGCTTGCCCCATTTTGACTGCCCAGAAACATATGTTCTTATACTTTAAAGTTAATTTCAAACTGCAGTCTTATAAGGGCTGTTTCCTAATACTGTCTTCTCCGTGAAATTTCCTTTATGATTGAATTCACAACGTGTAATGATGACCAGTGTGCTGTACTATGGATTAAATCATATGCATTCCTCTTAAAAGATGGCACAAATGGGGGCTCAGTTTCACCAGGAAAGAAGGTTCTCTCTTGTGTGGAGGTCAACATGAAACAGAAACATGGAGCCCCTCCTTCAAGGTTTATCTTGAGTGCAGAGCAGTATGTCTTGGCTGCTTAGCATAAGCTTGAAGAGCAGTCCTACTTTCAGAAGTTGTTGCTCCCCCCAACCCCCATTTGTAGTTTCATTGCTATATAATTCACACAACCATGTTTTCATTAAGAGTTGAGCTGGAAAGCAGCGTTGACATGGCACCTTCTAGGAAACATGCCGACTGATCAAAACTGGATGGGCCGTAGTTCTCATAGTTGGCCTGGCAACAGCAGTGTAAAGAATGGGCTCCCCAATGCACACACTTACCACGGTGCCAGCTGCCTCATTTACCAGTGGAGGAGAGGCAGTGAGGGGTAGAGCCTTGGGTCAAACGGCATGTTAGAGATGATACTGCCCTTTTGATATGTGCCATCCCTCTCTTGGATGCTATATTCCCATTCATTTTCATTACCAATTTCCCTTTTCTAGTTTTTCTTACTAGTTCAGCAACCCCAAATAGAATGTTCGTTCATCTTTGTACATCTCCGTTTAGAGACTTATCTAGCCGGATCCTGAAGAGTGCTAATGCTTTGGATTACAGGAAGTGGAGGCCCATCTGTATTTAACATCTTTTGTTTTCAAATAAATTCTGTGAAGCTCTTGAGGCACTAGAAGATTGTGTTCTACAAGGGTTAGAAATTAAAGGGAAATGAGGGTCACTGTCAGCGCCCAGGTGATGCACGGGCTAGGTGTGGGGTCTGCAGTTCGAAACCACCAGCCACTTTGACGGAGAAAACATGCTTGTCTACTCCTGTAAACAGCGACAGTCCTGGAAACTCACAGGGCCGGTTCTACCCTGTCCTTGGAGGTCACTGAGTGGGCATGGACTCACAACGGCAGTGAGTGTGGAGGACTGCCCTTATTTGCATTCCAGGCGCATGAATGAAATGGGGCTGCAGAATCTCTTACTTTTGGTCCGACCTAAATACAGCAATTGGCATCCGAGAACCAAGAGGAGGGGGTGAAAGGTCCTAGCTGGCTCCCACCAGTCTCTTACAGAACTTTCCTTGGCCTGCTGACCGTAGGCCTACTCAGGGCTATACC